AGGGAGGACCTATTAAAAGACAGACTACAGAAACAGAACACAACTGGTGATCACCTACAGATCACAACTCAAACCACTCAAATGCTTTATAAATAAGCTACAGCCCATATTGGACAATGACACTATACTTTCTCAGGCACTGGGTGGCAAGCCCATACTTGCATAAAGACAACCATCCAACCTGAAGCATATTCTCACAAGCAACAAGAAGCAACAGAACAATGATGCTAACATGGGAACCAGACCCTGCAACATATCCAGATGTCTACTTTACCCCCACATCTACACCAGCAGCCCCATCAAGGCCCCAAAAAGGGCCCAAAATGTACACACACAAGATTAGAAGTGCCTTCTCAAGATCTTCCTCTAATATGATATGCCAGCAGTGCCCCTCTGGATTCTATATAGGACAAACACAGCAAACCTGGTGCAAAAGAATTAATGGACATGTTTGACATCAGGGCTCAAAACAAGGACAAAGTAATATCAGAGCATTTCTACCTTGCAGGACACTCTATGGCAGACCTCAAATTGATAGTTTGGGAAAAATGAGACTTTAACAGACCCATTGAGTGAGAGATTGCTGAACTCACATATGTCAAAAGATTTCCAGCAGTCTCAGAAGGTCTCAACAAACACAATGGATTTTTAACACATTACAATTGTTAATTGGTAAGATACTTGTAATCTGTCACACATGTAACCTGCATCTGCATAACCAACCTGTCTTCCCCTCCCTTCCCCGCACCTCATCCCAATTTAAATCATATACCAGTCCAGGCAATTTATGATCTTCATCTATAACTTGATGAGCTGCAGCTAATGCATGTGTGTGCCTTTTAATAAAATTTGTTAGAAAAGAGGCTACCAGACCCCTTCTGATATTCCACCACTTATTTGAGCAGTTTGCCCAGGAAGATTTTGCCACTAGTTTAGTTTATATTTAAGTCGTCTTAGTATTTTTGCTGTTATTTTGTAGTAGTAGTGTATTCGTGTTTAATGTGGTCATGCTTAGTTATTCATACTGCAACCAAGATATATATTTATGCATTTATTTTATTATTTATATGTCTATTCTATTAACTGTCTAATACACAGCTACAAAATGTGCAATGTACACACTGCATGGAGCTATATACTTGACTGGCACAAAATGAGATGATATTTAAACAGGCTCAACTTTGCAGCAGCCAGAACTGAGAATGCAAGCCAGCTTGAGTCTCATGTTAGACCTGCAATATTAACAGTGAACTGTGCTGCCAGGTTGCATGCTCTCTTAGCATGGCCCTTGACCCTACAGTAGGAATACAACAAGTAACACTGCAGATTTTGAACTGCACTGAGAGTTTTGATCTGCAATATTCAGTATGAGTTACCATATATACTTGCAGATAAGCTGAGAATTTCAAATGCCAAAAGACACCCCAAAAATTGGGTTCAACTTATCTGTGGATGGGCTTATCCATGAGTATATACAGTAATAGTTTTTTTAAAGTAGTCATATTTGTGATATATACTTGCAGTTAAGCCCATCTGTGGATAAGCAGACCCTTGAATTTTTAACTGAAATACCATGAAAAATGCAGGTTGGCTTATCCACAGGTGGTGCATTTTTCATGGTATTTTGGTTAATTCAAGGGTCGGCTTACCCACAGATGGGCTTATCCACAAGTATATATGGTATGTGCTAAGGCTGCCATTCTATTCTTCTAACTGCAGCTCCTCCCAACCTGCAATTTGGAGAATGAACTGCATTTGTTTTAGAATTTGTACCAGCATACTCGCCCTCCTCCAACATGCTTCATATTAAATAACAAGTAGAAGAATGGGATCACTTTTCTTTGCTGCTACCTTTTGGAGAGTGAGAGACTGACGTGGTCATGTCAGTGTTCAGTTAATGAATTCTGAATTAAAATCTTGAATTATTCTGTTCCTGGGAATATCTAAATACGTCTCTAGAAAATTGTGGATCAGAAAATGAGTGTTGTACTCATATCCTTTTTGTTTCTATTGTAGCCAATCTATTCCCTTCCCCTCCCTCTTAATTATCTTTCTACTGTCTTTCTCTCAACATTTCATGGTGCTGAGTGCTTAAGAGCTGTTTGGAAGGGAGTGATTGTATAGTTCTGCCAAACTCAGTCCTGTTAGTACCTCTCTGTTGTACATAGTAGCAACATAATGGGGGACCTTCTTCCTGTGAAGTTTGGAAATGGAACATAAGAGGATAATAACAGTTCCTTTCACAATATGCTTGACTAGTTATTGTTTTTGTACAATAATAAAAGGATAATGACACTTTACAGAAAGTTTTCAATAGGGAATTATTGTCCTACTTTTTTAATCAACCAAGTAGCCACCTCATGTCTGCATGATAGTAAAATCAAATAAAGACAAATTTTGAGGACAGCACATCATTTGTTCATCCAATCTTGCATTATTATATTGCCTAAGCTTGTTTTTTATTTGTCTGTAAAATTTCTAAGAGGGTTTTTTGGTGGTGCTTTTTTTTTTTTGCCATATTCCTTTCCCAACATTAAGCTCTCAGAAAGAAAGGTAGAATAATTAATTATTTAAGAATATTAATTTTAATTATGGTAGTCTGATAACGTATTTTGCAGTTTAGACCAAATAAATAATTTTGTTATGTTAATTCATTTTTTTAAAAGTTAAACTCAAGTTGACCACACAGACATGCTGTCTTGGATCATTTCACATACAGTGTTCAAGTTGTACTTGTACAGATCTTTATCATCTTTTGTTAAATACACTTAAATATCGAATGGGTCATTCTGTCCTGGATGGATGGATGGAGATACAGCTATAGATATAGCTATAGATATAGCTGCCTATTACTTTTGGACCCTCTCTTATCTTTATAACCTAAAATAGATCTGTAGGATTCAATGATATTCAGTTCCAGTTCAGAATGATCTGCATTGGAAAGATGTATAAAATTAACATCTGCACAAAGATTGATTGTTTTCTATTATTCTTTACATTCATTTTTTTCTTAACCTTTAAGGCATGCACACACACACACAGATCAATGACAGGAATCCAGTCTTGTATAAGCTTAGCTCACTGAGTAACTAAAAATCAATAAATAGTCTTTGAACAGATTGAGTGAAGAAGGATATATACTACATCAAGCTGGATACCTCACAAAGCTTGTTAGCATGCCCAAGAGTTGGTGGCAGCAATGGTGACAGCCAATAATCTGTCTTCAACAGAATTGTATACAGAGGAGCTTCTATGGATAGTGAAGTTATTTGGGGCCAAAAATGATTTACTGGAAATGGAAAGTTGTGAAATTTTGCATAGCTTATTCACTTTTCCAAGATGAATTTGAGAGTTCAGAAGCACCTTCTTGTCAGAGTTGGTTGGAATCTATTAGAAGGTCAATATACTGTATGTAATAAGGCTACCATCTTCGCATATATATATATATGTATGTATGTATGTATGTATGTATGTATGTATGTTACTGAACTTCCAAAGAATATGTGCTAACTCAAGATATACCATCAAGTCTTAATTTTGGTTTATCTTCCAGAACCCTCTACTAAATTAGCAGAGGATATTCCTAGTAGCCATAGGATACTTCAACAAGGTTTCCAAGAAAAGTATTTCCATTCCTGGGAATCAGGCAGGAAGCAGTAGAACTTGGGAAAAGTTGTGAAGGATGATGAAAGACACACTTGGTGGAAGAGGATGTAGAAGAAAGGGAGAATGCTATGAAGTTCTAATAAAATTTCATTTGTGCACAGTGTCTGCAATTTCAACTGCAAAGAAAGATAAGATACACAGAAGGACATATTATTAGACACACTTTGATAAAAGCATGGAATTCTACAAAGGGAATAATAAGCCCAATATTTTCACCTTTAGCTTCTCCCTCAAATATTTTTCATGTTGGAGCCAATTACATCAAGAGAAATGTAATACATATGTAGATACGGCTGATTCAGAGTCTATGAATAGATTAAAAACAGAGCAAGAACTACTCATTGAAGGCTAGAAGATACCATGGTTGATGTACTTACAAATTGCTGGTAGGATAAAATCGGATCTCAAAAAGGAAGGAGGGACATTAAGAAAAAAGAATTTGAAATGTTTATACAAAATCAACACCATCTATTAGGATGTGTATATAAACTTCTACTTAGACATGATACAGAGACAGAAAAAACAAACAACTATGATAAAATGGATGAAAAACTTTAAAGAAACAGTTACAACACAACAATGGGAAGAATTACAGACTAAATCTATAAAATTTGCACCAAGTTATAACATAAAGGAAAATTGGTACAAAATGTTCTGTAGATGGTATACAACTCCATCAATAATATCTAAGATAGATAAATCATACAGTAATAAATGATGGAAATGCCGTGAAACAGAAGGAATGTTTTATCACATGAGGTGGATGTGTAAAAAAACCCAAAGTACTGGAAAGATAGATATAGTACAATGCAAAAAATTTTGGAATTTAAATTTGAAATGAAACCACAACTTTTCTTACCAGGTATAATCTCAGAAAAAATCAACAAGAAACACCATAATTTAATGAGATATATGCGTACAGCAGTGAGAATAAATTTTGTTCAACACTGGAAGAAAGATACAATCCCAACAATATCTGATTGGGAACTTAAACTTGGAGAATATACAGCAATGGAAAAACTAACCGTAAATGTACACAATAGAAGTTTAACCAAATTTAAGCAAGAATGGTTCCCATACAAACAGTACATTACACAGCATGGTAAATAGAAGCCAGACTGTAAGTGATTATACTAAGGGGGCTTAAATTTCTACAAAATGGCAAATCAGCTGTACAAAAAGAGGGTAGTTAGAAACGCAATAGTTCTTTTTCTTTTTTCCCTTTTTCTTTTCTTTTTATCTATTTTTTTAGTATTTTAATTTTTGTTAAATATCTGGCTATTTTTTCCTTTTATTAACATGTAAAACAAATGTGTGTGTGTGTGTTTCTGTGTATGTGTGTACTGTATGTGTATATATATACACACACACACATACACAATGGAAAGTTCAGTATTAAGCAATCAGTTCAAGACTGAAACCTATATTGTGTAACAAACATTTTGAGGTAATCTGCAGCAGTTTCTCCTTTCTAATGTTATACACTCAAATTTGTATGAAAAATAATTTTATGCTTGTAATATTGATATTCTAAATTGTAATTAATATTGATAGAATATATTTTCCTTTGTTCTCTATTTCTAACACTGTTATCTAAACAATAGTCTACTAACAGGTAATAACATTGATTAATACTGTACAAATATCCTTGTATTGAAACAATATAAGATTGCTAAGATTTATAACAATATAAGATTATTAAGATTTATAACAAAATAACAATGGGGGAGGGGGAAGATAAAATAATTAGCCACATCATCTTTATAAAAAATGGACAGATGAAGTGAAACCTGTTATAAGGCTGAGAGAGTACTCAGGGAAGAAATTCGAGAATGAAATAGAATGCTCCACGCAGTTCATTAGAAACCAGTGATCTCTCCCCCCCACAACTCAAATTTTAAAAGGGGCCAATTTTAATATTTTTAAGAAAAATACATTCAACAGAATCATGAATGAAAAATGATGCAAGTATTGAATATTGTATACCTTAAAACAATATGGATAATCAGAAGGGAAATATCTGCTGTAGATATTTCTAAATTGGATTTAATTTCTTTAATCATTTCCTTTTAAAATGCAAAGTTGGTAATTTCTTATAAAGTTAGTATTAATAATAACCGTGAATAAAATAAAGGGACACACATTAAATAATGTTAGATTGTATCTGCAACCATTCACACATTGACAACAATATCTAGGATTGATCAGAAACTTTGAAAACTTCAAAAATATAATTTTGCCATGCAGCCAAATAAGGAACATATACTAAATTAGAAGGAATATATGTTTGAATGTAATCTTCAAAGAAGAACTAAAAGTATGACACATTCATTCCTTAACTCCCCCCCCCCAAAAAAAAAATGGAGAGGAAAAAATTGAGAAGTTTGAAAAGTCAGTTTACATAGTTTACAAATTATAACAATAAATGCAAGCATCTCAAAACATTAAAGTGTCCAGGAAAAAAAAATGCACTTTTTAGAAGCATTTTCTGTCAAAGGTTTGCATTCAGCATACATAAACAATTCAACTTATTAGTCAACATTCTTACCAAAGACCTACCAGCTTCTATTTCACTTTTCTGCTACCTATCCCTGGACTGTCCTGTCCATTTTTCACCTTACATAACACAGGATTTTATGTAACTGTGTAACCGCACTCTTGTCCATCCGATGAAAACAAGATGAAATAACCTTTGGGGTTGGGGGGATTCTTGCCAAAACTGTGACTGCCTTATTAGATGGTTGAGGACAGATGGGTCTGAGCAGAGATCTGGCTTAAAGAACAAAAAACATAATAGGGACATGATATGACATGATATGGACATGATGGAAAGAAGGATAGTTTGCAAAAATAGAAAGAAATGGAAAGTTACAGTAAATCGTGTTGATGTAAATTAGATTTAGCTGTATTTTTCTTCTTTTTTAATCTCATGCCTTGATTTCTTTGCCTTACTGTTTTCTGTGTTTGGCATAACATTGGCTGCCATAAAAGGGAACCACAAGACGGCTTAGTTGATGGCTAGAGCACTAAGAGTGTTCTAACTACTCAGGAAGCTATCTTGATTTTTTTTTTCTCCCTAGCATTTTTCCCACAGGTGTAGGGCCTGCTTTTTTTAAGATCAATCAAATATTGATCCATTGGTTGTGACAGGAATTGGCCAACTGGCTTGTTGCCTGAGCCTGATGTTGTGGGCTGAGAGAGAGTGACTGGCCCAAAGTCACTCAGCTGGCTTTCATGCCTAAGGTGGGTCTAGAACTCACGGTCTCCTGGGTTTTGGCCTGGAGCCTTAACCACTAGACCAAACTAGCTCTCAAAGGAAGCTGTCTTGATGTAAGGAGGTTATCACTGGTTTTATAGTACCCCCTCATTTCCCTTTTTAGAAGATATATATATCTTATATATCTTCTAGAAAAAGAAAAAAACCAATAGAAAAAGAAGGAAAAATACACACACACACACACACACACACACACACATATGTGTGTGAGTATGTGTGTGTGTGTGTGTGTATTTTTCCTTCTTTTTCTATTGGCTTTTTTCTTTTTCTATTCTGTTTTAGTAAATAAATAAAAGTTACAAAAATTTAAAAATCTTTTTTGGATAAGGTAGTGGAATGTACAGGAGAGTCACTCTGAATGTTCCCAGAAGACATAGTTTTCTTTATGCTTTCTGCCTAACTTCTGACACAAAGCTACCTTCATTGGTGGGGGATCTTTCTTTTGACACTGATAGAGGGGCAACGTGATTCAGTTCATCTTAGTATCTTGACTATCTCTTTGGAACATTAGATGGTGATGGTTGTGGAAGCAGAGTGTTTATATGATTTCTCTGATATTATAAACTGAGATACTAGTTTGCAAGACCATTTTAGCTAACTTTCCCTGTCACACTAATGGCTATGAACTGAGTTGGGCCAGCTTGTACTCAGTTACTGACTTTCATTATCACACATATATCTTGTGTTTTATGGTTTTATTTTGCTATTTGTATGTGTGTGTGTGTATAATGTACAAACCATATGTAGTTTCTGTGAAAGCAACCTATACATGTTTTAAATGAATAAATAAATATATAAAAATGTGTTGCACATTTATAAGTATTAAAAGTTCACATATGTTGCCATTTATCATTTGCCTTATTTCAGAATTGAGTAGTTAGAGCCCAGTATCAAAACAGTATCACAGTGAGTAACTCTTTGTATTGGCATCACATGTGAAGCAAGCTTTTGAAGCACCAGATAATTATTGAACCTCAGGAAACAGTGGTTTGGTCGCTCTTTTTCCTGAAGGTGGGTTTCTATGGGACATAATTATTCAACATACAACTAACAGATTTATTTATTTTTTTTTGTAATAAGACTAAGCATCTTGTGTACATGACAGATAACTATGGATGGAGCAGAGCAACTAAGCCCAGAGGGTATACAATAATTTGCAGCTTTTTTCATAATCATCTGATGGATGTCTTCAACAACAGATAAGTTTTATCCTAATCAAGTTTCAACAGATGAACTAGTTCTGTCAGAATCAGAATGTAGAAGTTGCTTGTCAAGAAAGAGAAACATTTTCTCTGGACATCCCCTGCCCCAAATTCTCAATTCAGTGGATTTTATATTTGGGCTGCCACAAATGCCCTTTGTTCAAGCATTGTCAAAGACCATGTTTACATGCTTCACTTTTATTATGCAATGATATAATTAAATAGGACCTGACTCTATATTTCCTGGCTTTGTAGCCCAATGAGTGGTCAAAATATTCATGTTCAATTGAAGAAGCATACCTCCCTACTACATTTGTTCATACTCAGTGGGTCTATCAGTCATAACATTAGGATGTCTCCTCTTCTTCCTCCTCCTTCATAGTTGCTGTTCAAGGTGGGTGATGAGTCTCAGCCAGTGGCAAAACTTAGCTGATCTTGGCTGATTTCAAAGGTTAAGCTAGCCAAAGAAAAATAAAAGCATACATGATTCTTTAATGTCACAGTTTAGTATGTCACAATTTAGAATAAAAATATCTCAGGTGTCAAATGGTTATTTACTAGTGTAAATAGATAATTTGAACTGGAGTAGACAGTCTTATGCCTACCATTGAAACATATGGTGGGCATAAGACTGTCTTATGGTGGGCATAAGACTGTCTACTCCAATTCAGACTACAATTCCTATAATCCCTCAGGCATGAAAACTGTGACTTATGGAATTCATAGTCCAGTCTATCTGGTTGCCTACCACTAATTTAGATTTACTTTTAAACATATCTGCATAACACTTACGATAAAATCTGGGGCTGCATGATGTTTGTCTTCCATACAAAACAGTCTTGAAATGTAGAAAACTGAATACTAGGAATTTTCACTTACATTTTCTGTTTTATGTCAGCATTCCTGATGTTTTATGTCATTATTTCTCAATGTGATGGCCTTCAAGCATTTTGAACTACTATTCTTGTACTCCCCAGTAGTCCATGCGACAGAGGATGTAGCACAGAAATCTAAAGAACAGTATGCAGATAACAGTATCTGTACATTTATATTTATGTTTGTGTTTAATTATTTTATTTTTAATTGTTTATTGAACACCGCCCAGAGTCACATTTGTGAGATGAGTGGTTATATAAATCTGATGGATGGATGGATGGATGTTGGGAAAACCTGATCTACGCGGAACAAGTTTTTGTACTGAGGAGTACATTCAACCAGTTGCGCATACACCTACAAAGTGGCATGGCATATAGCTGTTACGTACTAGTACCTAACAAGCCCTGACAATGTATTTTTTCTGACCACAGTGTTGCCTTCATATCAGATAGGTTTAACTCATCTTTAGCTGACTTTAAAAAGGGTATTTTCTCCCTTATCTGGATACTGTTCAAGGGCGTCCTCGTGATGCATGAAACTTGTTAGGCTTTGTCACCCAGGGCTTCCGAGACAAGTCAACTACGATGACTGGGAATAGAAGTCAAAGAAGCAAAAGAAGGGTTGGTAATGGGAACAGCAAAAGTCAATAGTTTGCTGTTGACTCAGGATAGGTGGGTAGCACTTAAATTCAGCAGCAGGAAAAGGCCCATAATCTGGAGGAGAGTTTTCCTGTTCAGTTGCAACATTCTAGGTCTAGATTTCTTGAGACTAGTGGGATTTAATTCTTCGTTGCTACTAAGAAACCAAGAGTTATTAAAGAAGAAAGGGTTTGAGTTAGGGCAAAGGAGTTACTACTGTCATTCTTCCTTTTCTATCTGAGGCCATGTCTCCACTTGTACCTAACCATAGCACAATCATTCCTTCATGACAGCAATTTCCCCCCTTGCCTCCATGATATTTCCTTCATCTCATCTCATCCCCAGCCCATCAGTGAAATAGCCTTAAGGTGTTGCTAGCTGTACTGGTGCTAAAGTAGTATTTTCCCATTTATTGCAATACTCTCCAAGGATAGCTTCAAAATCAGCAATGTCCACAGAGATGTGTGTCCAAAATCTACAAGATGGCTAGTGCCTACTGTTGTTCTGCCAAAATCATTGCAGCGAGGGTGGGCTTGATGCTGCCTCAAGCAATGGCTGAATGATGCAAGACACTATAAATCACTAGCGGGAAAATGGCCACTAATAAGTGGATAGCATTTGAATTCAGAACTGGAGAAGATATTTTAGTCTGAAAGTTTTCTAACTGGTCTGCAAGATGATTAAAACACCATTGATTACATATGTATATCTGCATATGATTAAAATGTTTTGAAGGAAAAATTCATACTTTTTTTGGATTTAGATAATATATGCATTATCTTAGCGTGCATCTAAAAAAGGCATTTTTTCCTATACAGGAATGTTTCTTTTAAGACAGTGTTTTCTATGTGCAGTTTGTATACATTCTTCAGATAATTTTTTTAATCCGATCCTGATTAATTGGGGGTAGCTTTTTAATCAATATAGAGTTTAAATATTGCTAGGGATTTTTTTAGTTAAAGATTGTTTCTAATCTATTCTGGTTCTGGATATGGAAAAATCAACCAGTCCCAAACCTCTCAAACTCATATGACATGCTATTTTGATTACAAAAGCAAATTATAGCAGTGACTGTAGCTATCCTGTAGTAAATACTGCTAAACATTTACATGAAGACAGTTGCAGTTGCACTATGTTATGTTCTAGATCCTTTTTAATTTCTCAGCAGCTTGGAATAGAACATAGTTCCTGCTTATCATATGTAATTTGAAAAAATGCATAAATACATACCTATTATGTGATAAAGAGAAGACTTCTGAGATGTGAGGGGTTTTCTTAAAGACAGAACAAAGACAGTGGCAAGGAAACTCTCATACTATGCATTTATTGAGACAAAGCTGCATTACAAATTCTTAATTCAAAAAGAGAATCTTATTATATATGATCAAAGTTGAATATTGTATATTGTGCCATTATTTGTTATCATGTTTTCTTTAGCTTTTTTAAATGAAGTATGTTTACACTGATGGAATACAACTATTCCATTTCAGATCTTTTAAAAGCTAAGCTTATTTCCTTGCTTTTTCAGGTTAGTACTATTTACACACATGCTTGCCATCAGTTCTGTATCTTCTCATAGAAATGTTATGCACTTGATCAGCTATTTATTTTTTACATTTATGTGGCCATCCATCTCACAAAAAGTGACTCTGGGTGGCATACAACAATCTTATCTTAGCATCCCCTCAAAACATAGTGCCTAGGTTGCCGCTTTTATCCTATGTCCCAACTTTTGACAGCAATGCAACCAATAGAAATTCAACAGTCATTTAATTTTGCTCTATATGTGGAGGTTTTTTTTTCCTGATATACACTGCTGGTCTATGACCAAATAAAAATTTGATTTGATTAGATTCCTGATACACTCTTAAGAACTCTACATGAAACTGCTGGGCGAGATCATCCGTCATCTTGGGATGAGGTATCACCATTATGCTGATGATACACAGCTATACATCTCCATCCCTGGTGAAGTAAGTGATACCGTGGCCACCCTTTTGCGGTGCCTGGAAGCTGTAAGGGTCTGGATGGGGAACAACAGGCTTTGGCTGAACCCTGATAAGACGGAGTGGCTGTGGGTTAATGGCTCCTCTGTATCTGGAAGTTTACCATCTTTAGTGCTGGATGGGGTGGCACTGCCCCAGACAGACCCAGTGCGTAATCTGGGG